TGTATTTTTAGTAGAGACGGGGTTTCTACCATGTTGACCAGGATGGTCTCGATCTCTTGACCTCGTGATCCACCCGCCTCGGCCTCCCAAAGTGCTGGGATTACAGGCGTGAGCCACTGCGCCCGGCCGTTAGGCCATCTTTTTAAAAAAAAGTTGACCATAAGCAGCTTCTATACATATCCTAAAGACAGTAGTTTTTTTTTTTTTTTTTAGATGGGTGTCTTGCTCTGTCAGGCTGGAGTATAGTGGTGTGTTACTTCCATGTTTTAGACCTCAAAGTGATCCATATATACATTTTTGGAGTATATATGGAGTATAAAAAGTGTATATGGAGTATATTTGGAGTATAAATAGTAAATTTATCTCTAGGACGTGGAAATTTTTGTCAAGGTCATTTTTTTCTTGATTTCTCAGAAAATTTTATGTAACTTTTTAACCTAAAATATAAACTATTAAGGTACATCTGTAGATGGCACTAGAGTTTTACTTTTTATAACCTCTCAAGTTTGAATAAGACATTGCCAAAGTAAACTGGAAATGAGGCTTATTGAAATAGTTGCTTAATAAAGTTTATGATCCTCAAATGGCTCTTTCCTGGTTGTCAAATAAAAATTGAAAATTCCTTAATATGTGTTATATTTTGACCTTTAGGTTTGGATTTGGGATAAGAACATGATTTTTACTGTGGGCTTTTAAGTCATGTCTCACTGAAACTCCCAAACTTGCTTTGAAGAAATCTTAATATACCTTTGATTGTGGAAGTAAAGGGAAATAATTAGCTTTCCTTCAGTATTTCAGAAGTATTCACGTTAGACGGTTGCTTTCAAGAAATAGCAGTTAACCTATTAGGAAGGCTGCAATGCTCATTACAAATAATCATCTTTAATATTTTGACTTTGCAACCTGAAGTGGAAGAACTTTCAAACACCTGCATTTCAAACTTTATTCCCCTTTTGCTAGAATATGTGTATCATTATGGGCCTATCAAAAATCTCAAACCTGGAGGAATTATTTCTATCTTGCAAATGTATGTCACATATGAAAGTTTTCTTTCTTGTCAACCCCAAATATTCTATATTACTTTTTCAAACCAAATGAATCCCTGGGAAGATGAGGACTTAACCTGATAAAGCTAGCACAGGCATTACCAGCAAGGATAAAGAATGGTAAATTACAGATGTCATGAAGTCAAGTCTCCCAGCATAGCAGTGGTTTTGTACACAATAGGCACCTGAGGAAGTCGAAAAGGAAGTGCTACTACTGAGGAATAAGGTGTCTGGCAAGAGTTTTTAAAAACACTGTAAGGATTATAACTCACCGTTGCAGTTTTTACAGTTGTAACATTAAAATAGGACCTCTGATATATTTTAAGTTGGGCTTATCATCCAGTGTATTACCTTCAGTATCCTCTCTCGGACTACAGCTTTTTGAAAGGAGTTTGGCACTATTGGTAGTGTCACTATTATCAAAATCAGTAGCACAGTCTTTAGATTATTAAAGTACATTCCTAAATTTTTCTAAGTCCAAGTGTGTTGTAACTTGCTAGCCTGGAGAAGGAAAAAAAGACAAAAGTTAAGGATGATTGTTTTAGCATTGCAGCTTTCCTAACAAGGGTTAAAAAGCACATAAATTAAATTGCTGTGTATATCTCATTTGCCATTATTTTCAAAAGTTGTTATTGATACTCCTTTTTAAGTGGGAAGATAGAAGCTCTTTCAGAGTCATAAATCTCACATCCCTTTTCCTGTTGGCTAGTGAAGTTACTACTTAGCTAAAAGAAGATGGGAAAACTTTTATAGGGAGACTGGAGATTGAATCCAACCCAAATAGTAACATTTTTATGTTAGGATATTGATCTTTATTTGGAAAAACAAGTTTAAAACACGTGGTCATTAGTAGGGAAGTCCTTTGAACTTCACAGTACAGTAAAAGATTCTTTAGGTAAGTCAGTGTGACACCATGACCAGAATGTTTTGAGGTTACCTAGTTAAGGTGGTTAATACAGAGTTTGAGAGGTGCCATCTTGTTAGTTTTTGAGTTCTGTTTTTGTTGCTATTTTATTTAAAATGATTTGTTGGATAATTATTCCCAATTTTATTTATGATTTCAAGTCTGTGATGAGGTAGCTGTAACTTTGATGGATTGTCTGATGAAATATTACTGAGATCTTATAACCCATCTCAATGGGGAAATACATTGTTAGTCTATACTTTGTTGTTGTTTATACTATTCTAGACTGACAAAGGCTAGTTGTCTATTCTTCGGTTTATTGTTCCCTCCCTCCGCTAGCATTTTCTCATTCATACCAGAAAGGAAATATTTGAGGTCTTAAAAGGTATCACTTTAATAGAATGTTATTTTGAAAACTTGGTGTATGTTGAAGTTATGGAATGGATAGAGTTAGAAAACATGCAAAGTTTCAGAAAATCAAATATTGAAAATTTATTTTAGCCTTATTTTTGATACTGATTTTCTTCTTAAAAAAAAGGTATCAAAGTTTTTTGGTGTTTTATTTTCCAGGTTTATGGTTGGCTGTGGGAGATGTGATGACTGGTTTCATGGTGATTGTGTTGGGTTAAGTCTTTCTCAAGCACAACAAATGGGCGAGGAAGACAAAGAATATGTCTGTGTAAAGTGTTGTGCTGAAGAAGACAAAAAGACTGAAGCATTAGATCCAGATATTTTGGAAAGCCAAGCTACAGTTGAAGTCCATAGTGAAGATAAAACAATGGAGTTTGAAAAGCTTGGATTATCAAAACACACAACAAATGATAGAACCAAATATATAGATGATACAGTGAAGCACAAGGTCAAAATTTTAAAACGGG